CATTATTAGTCTCAAAGTGGGTTCCTCGTCATCGAATTTGAAACCTTTAATGGATCATCTGTGAGTTTTTCATAATTCCATACGTAGGATATAAACCTAGTTGGCCAAAAAAATTTAACCTAGCTACAAAAGACAGAGACCTGTTGAAAAAGTCTTAAGTGTATTGAAGAGGATGAACTTTTTTAGTGTGTCTCAATCTTGAAAACCTGACATAATTACCTGTCTAATAGTCAGTGACTCCAATAGCTTGGAAGCATCAAACTACAAGAGAGCTGCTCTAGATATCTCATGTAATACTTCAAATGAACAATATTTGCACATGTTCCTTCACAGAATTCAACATAGAACATGGATCAGCTGGAAGTTTTCAGAGAAAAATTTTACAAGATTCGGATCAACTAAAATCCTTCACAAAACATGAATCATCTGAAAAGTTATTCCATCAGAGTATGAATGAGTTAGACAATTAAAACATGGACCAGCTGCACATTGTTTGAGTAATCTCATTAAAAAAAATTAACCAATAGAAGTCTTGAAAGAAAAGTTAATGATTAGTTAAATGTCCTTTAAAGAATTCAAAACAAAACAAAGGTCCGCTGAGTAATATACAAATAACTTATACAAGTGATGAATCAGTTGAAATTGCATTAAACTAGACATACACAAAATATGGTTTGGTTTGTTTGAAGTCAAGCACAAAGCTACACAATGGGCTATCTATGCTCTGCCCACCACAGGTATTGAAACCCGGTTTCTAGCGTTATAAGTCCACAGACATACCACTGTGCTACTGGGAGCACACAAAATATGAAATGTCTTCTAAAACATTATATGCAGTATATTCATTACATGACGTTATCAAAGAATCCTGGCACGAATCAACTGAAGAGTCTCCGAACAAATCTCAGCTCAAGCAAAATGTTCAAACAACTGTGTGTATATATCAAATAAAAGAAGAACGTGCAGAAAAGCATATTATTTTTAAGTGCCACATACAGCTGCCTACACAAAAAGAAAGATGAGTTACTCTGATGACAATTGTAGAGAAAAGCAAGTCTGCCAGAGATATCACAGTTCTCCTAGACATGCCTAATTGAAATAAGTTTTCATGAAGTGTTATAATCTAATTAAAAATGTCTATATAAAAAGATTCCATTAACTTGGAAAACTATGTACTCTGTACAAACAAGACTAGAGATAAACAAGTTAATGTGAAACATCCGAGTTTAACCCACACAAGCTTAAAAAATAAATCATCATTGATTAAGAACAGTAGTACAATAAATCCTTGTATGATGGAGTTATCTAGAAAAACATTAGTTGACATACCCCAGATAAACTTGCATTAGTTTGTACTGGTATTAGAGAATATGATGGTTGCTTCAAATAAGCCTACAAAAAGTATTTGTTTGTTGAATTCCTGTAAAACTACTCGAGAGCCATATGTGCCATTTGTCCCTTATTTTGAAATGAAAAACTAAAGAGAAGGCAACTAATCAACACCACCCATCACAAATTCTTGGGCTACTCTTTGCCAACTAAAAGTGAGATTGATCATCACATTATAATATTCCCATGGCTGAAAGGGCAAGCATGTTCGATGATGTGATTCGAACTTGCGACTCAAGCACCCTAACCTCCAGGCCTTGCCAGACCCCTACAAATAATGATTTATGTGTCAAGTACTGGTGTTTCCACAAATATATATATGAAATGTAAAATATACCATGAAAAAGTGCCGGAGCCTCATGTATACTTATAAAAAAGTATGTGTTACATGAAACAGTATTTCCCAGATAACAATACAAAAAAATGTAATAACTTTGAAGTTCCAAAATAGTACTACTTTTCTTAAGACAAAAGTTAACTACCTCGAAGAACTGCAGCACAGATCTCTCTCACTTCTTCCTCTACAAAATGTTTGCCCTGTGAAAAAAATTTCAAAGTTCAGACACAGTTTTTCCCAAAATAAAAAACTTTTTAAAAACCTTATTGAAACCAAACTCATGGAAGTTTTCAGAAATTACAAACTGATAAATTTTTGATTTAATAAAGTAATAGTTTTGACAAAAATCAGTAAGCAATTATTGAAAAATACTGAAGTATTGAATATAATTGTTTACTCTTACATCACAAGTACAGAAAATGCTATTAAAAAACATTTCAGTCTTTTATACTGCCAAATCAATCATAGTATCTGTTTCATTCAACACAAAAATAAGTTCTCAAAGAATTCCCTTAGCTTTATAACAACATTTCAATCATTTTTACTTCTATTATTACTGATGTTAAAATCTAACAATAAAAAAACAACCCTAAATTATGAATACAATAACTCTGTGGAATTTCAATATACCATACTTTTCTATTTTATCATAATATTATAGTATTTATTTTGATATTATTCATTCTTTCACATACATGTCGGTTGCGCATAACATGTGATCAAGAAAGCCATTACATTGATTTACTTCTGAACTATTTTTGTTCTTATGTTGTTCTTGAAGTAGATAATTCCTGTTACCACTCAGAGAGGATGTTGCTCAATACAACATATTGTGTAAGAATGTTAAAAGCAATGTCCTTCAACAGTTGTTCAGGTGATATCTAGAAGTTACAGCCCCACCTATGTTGTTATAAGAATGACCAGTAATGTGGGTAGTGCTAGTTACCCTGGGTAAATGTGAGGTTTCTTGCATAACAAAAAACATTACATTTATTCAGTCTAATCTGTAACTTGCTGATCAGTTGGTCAGTCTAACTGGAACATCATTTAATGTATGTATATTCTTAACAGGATTCTGTAATCCAGGCACAGCAATGGTTCATTGTTTATTATACAAGCAAGTACACACATTTTGTTGTTTCATTATCATGATAAAGATTATGCATTATGTTTGACACTTCATGTCCAGTATCGTTATTTCATTTTACACTGACTCAGCAAGAGGCTTAGCATTACTCTTTAATCGATACCTTGAGCAAATTTCTCATTATCCTGTCAACCTAACCAACATATATTCAGTTTCACCACAACTGTATCTAAACAGCTCAAGCATAGTCACTTTAATCATCATTACTATCACAACACAAAATCTAAAACTCAAATATACTTCAAATAACAACTGTAAAAACAAACAAAAAATTAGAATTTCTAAGCTTTAATATTGAAAATATGAATTACGATGTAAAAAATTACCGGACGACCTTGAAGCCCAGGCATGCCTGATGGGCCTTTGGTTCCAGGAGCTCCTGGGATTCCTGAAGGTCCTTTGATTCCTGGCATTCCTATAGATCCTGAAGGACCTATTGAGCCTCTTTTTCCTATTTTCCCTCGTTCACCTGCCTAATTTCAAATAACAGGACAATGACTGTTCTGATATGTAAATTAATTGAAAAGTGACATTAAGTTTTTACGATATAATGTTTAGTTACATAATAAAAGTCTAATATGTAATTCTAAACATTATTTATGAGTGAAATCTATTTTATTACAAGTTGATACTGTAGTTTACTGTTTTATGCAACTATTGAACATACAAGTTTTGAAGGATTAATTGATTTACTTCATTATTTGTGTTAATTATATGTAGGTATAGTATTAACTGAAAATATTTAGCCAATCGTATAAAATCATTTTATTAATTTTACTGTGGAATGACTACTTAGTGTAATAATTTTGTCTTATAAGACAAACACAAATACAGTGTTCAAAAATTTTGCATATATAGATTAACAACTTCCTATCACATTAAGAAGTCCATTTACAGAAATTTAGTTTTGATAAAAAGCTGTATTCCATATTCCATGGCACATAACTTACCATTCCTTTAAAACCTGTGGGGCCATGAGAACCCTAAGATAAAAGAATCTTATTAATGTTTTTTTAAACAAACAATGTAGAAAAAAAGTATTAAGAAAATTAAAAACTATAGTTTCTCCAGAAATTCTAAACCAAAAGATTGAAAAGTTCCTCATTAATGGGACACCACTGAACTTTTTGGGAAGGAAATACTTTGCCAGGTTGACCAGTCACTTGTCAAAATAAATAGTTCATACATATATAAATATATATTTGAAAAAACAATCAAAATCAATAAAATATATTTCTTTTTTTTTTTTAGCCTAGAAGTACAACTTCAGCAACAACACTAAGTTTCAGTTTCGTGAGTAAAAAAAATTGCCTGATAATCATACAAGAAAATTTTAATTAAATTTTGTCCAAAAATAATCAGAAATCTTGGGAGGACAGATGGGAGATTTCAAGACTACGTTATCTCAGACATCACAAAAGTTTAATCCATTTCTGATCTTTCATAATTCCCATAATAGTGTTGTGCACTGTATTAATATAGAATTCTTTCTGAATATACATGGAAAACAAACAACATTAACTTAATTTTTTAAATTATCATTAAAGTTCATACACTGAATTATTTTAATACTATATCAATGAGATCGTGATTATATGTTCTTATATACAATAACTTTCAGACTATTTTAATGACAGGTTTCTACAGAACTTAAAGTATTATGTGACAATGAAAATCTAACACAAGCATACCAGAAAATATACTTTTTACACTGGATAAAATAGTTAAGTCAGTTGATTATGTATATTATAAATTAGCTAAGTGATGGAAATATCTCACTACCTTTAGCCCCTGTATGCCTCCATATCCTCTCAATTTAAAATCCATCGTTCCATAGTCTCCCTACAGGAATTATTTTTAAACCAAAAGAGAATTAAGTTAGGAAAAAAATATTTCTATTCTTATGTGAACTTTACAAGATATACAGTCCAAAATATATCATAATCTCAGTTCTCAATATACCATGTGCTGGTGTCTGGTTTTTGCGTATGTGTGGTCCGGATTCTTTACAGTAGATGTTTGTGATTTGTTGGGGATAAAGTTCAACAATAAACAAACAGCACACAGTCCATTTATTTTAAAATAATATATCAAAACAAGTCAAATGTATGGACAAATGTTTGTTACCACAGCTTTAAATAATCATCTCTTTTCATCAGAGTCCACACAGGCTGGTTCAGATGTGTTAGAACATAATTGACAAAATGAATTCTTCTCCGCTGCTCTGTTGTTACAACACAATCGGTGATAAATTCACTTACGTTACATTATTGGTCACCACAATTGTATCCAGAGCTTTAAATACTTCTATTTTCATCGAAAATCATTTGTTCAATTACTTTCGAACATAAATGATAAGACAAATTATTCTTCTGTACTCTGTTATTACAATACAATCTGTGATAATTTCACTTAGAAATTGTCACTATATGCTCTTATGGCTAAACTCATAATCATACAGTCTAGATCTATCTAACTAACTTTGTCTTACTTACTCAAACTACATTTTGTATGCATATTTATAGATAGCCCAAATGAGGGTTTGAACTTTCTACACACTCCGAGATATTATGATGGGATAATACTTTAGAAAACCTTAGAAGGTTCTAATAAAATGGTGCAATAATACAATAATTACCAGTCTATGATAATTGAACTACACGACATATGATTTGCACAGTTACGTAAACAAACCTGTGATAATCTATCACTTGTAAAAATGACTTAAATTAAAACAGTAATGTATATCTAACAGCTGTCAGTAGTGTTGATTGTGAAAAAAACAACAAAAAACAATTCATAAGCATTATTTGCAGCATACTTTCTCTCTATGTTTACAAATTAACTAGTATGTAACATGCATTTAAAACTTTAGAAGTCAATTAGCTCTTTTTTGACTTTATTAAACTCTTGAAAATAATCAAAATTACTATATTTATTTTGATTACAAGAGCTGTTCCCATGCAAGTGGAAAGTGATGCACTAACTCTAACATTCCGTAGCACAGCTAATAGTGAGGATACCTAACTCTGAAATAATGCATTTCCATAATTTAAGTAAGAATTAAGCTCAGTCTGGTGACATTTTCATATATTTTCAAAGTTAATTAAGAAATCCCATTGAAGGTTTACTTATGATCATCACACTAACCACAACTATCTTAAAGTTTTGTACATCATAGCCTTATGTTAATTAAAAATTATAACTGACCTTGGGTCCTGAAGGTCCTGGTAACCCAGGTAAGCCCTAAAATAAATATTAAAAAAGCTGTATAATTTTATTGTTTTTATAAAAGTTCTAGTAGCAAATGAAATACTAAAACAGTCATACTAAAAGGTTAAAATTCAAGGAACTTGTGTATATATTTAAAATATTAAAATCTACAAATGAACAACGTTTTATAATACACAATTAAAATGTTTATTTAAACCAATCAACAGTTGTAAAAGTCATTCTACGTGTTTCAGTGTGGTTTCATGTCATCTTCAGGAGAGTGAAAAATAGTTAGTGTGTGCTATACAAGTACAGAAGCCATGGTGATTTGACTACTAGTGTATAATTCAAAAAAGATCACACCATCTACATACTTTTTGATTTTCTAGCCCTTTATCCTTATTTAAGATCAAATTGTTTTTGCTGTGTTTCATTATTTCAGTGATTTTCTAATATTTCTAGCAGTCATATTATTCCGTTGATCCAAAATAACCATTTTTTTTCTCTTATGTTCATTTACTCTAAATTTTAAGTTTCTTCTAGTTTGACCAATGTGTGAATGACCACATTCACATTGACCTTTATATAAACCTGTTTTCTCCATTAGATTTATTTCATCTTTAGTTTTATTTAATATTTGACTAATTTCATTCAATGCATTAGCTGAACATGTAAATTATACTGGACATATCATCTAGTGGTAAAAAACTGTTATTTTGGCTCAACTGAATAATATAACTGCTAGAAATATTAGAGAAACTATTGAAATAATGAAACACAGCAAAAACAATTTGATCTTAAATAAGGATGAAGGGTTAGAAAATCAGAAAGTATGTAGATGGCATGATCTTTTTTTGAATTGTGAGCAAGTAGTCACAATGACTGCTAGAAATATTAGAAAATCACTGAAATAATGAAACACAGCAAAAACAATTTGATCTTAAATAAGGATGAAGGACTAGAAAATCACAAAGTATGTAGATGGTGTGATCTTTTTTTGAATTGTGAGCAAGTAGTCACATGACCATGGCTTTTGTACTTATATAGCACACAGTAATTATTTTTTTCACACTCCAGAAGATGTTTGTGTATTTTAATATTTTACTAAAACAGTCATCACAGTTACAACCAAATATAGCCTAGGTTCAGACATTAGGTTCAGAAGTGTCTAATAATACATAGTTATCACATGTATAAACTTGTTCACAAGAAAAGAAGTAACATATTATAGATAAATTTTACAAATAAAATATGTAAAAAGGTCCTCAAGGTCCTTATAGTTTGATAAAACAAACATGTACATGCTGAGGAAGACAGACTGAAAAATAATTTTTTTTGAGAATTATCAGGCAAATCAGAAATCAAGGTTATCGTTACCTCATACTTATCTAAATACCAGTCACAGCCTTTATGCTTCTGCAATTTAAAACGGTTCTTCTTCAAACACTTCATTTAAGACACCATTCTGGCTAATTATGCTCCTTCATATTAATCTACAACTTTATTAGTTTATTGGGACATGGTTTGTGTGTCATATTAAAAGTAACATTTGTTAGTTTTATTGACACTTATGCTTTTTTGTTTTTCATACTAATATAAACTATTGCTTCTATTAGAACTTTGCTTCTGTTTATATCACATTAATCTATACCTTCATTACTTCTATTCACCATGCTGAAGATTGGAGGTTCCTGACCTGTCTGACAACACTCCTATGTATCTAGCAGTAGGAGACTTCAGTACCAGACATCCTACCTGTGATGAGGTGAAAATTCTGATGGCAAAGGTTTACATTCTGCTCTCCTCAGTATAGCCACAAACCTTTTACTCCTAAACTTGAGTGAACCAACAAGAATTGATTGGCACCAAGGTGACAGAAACTCCTTTATAGATCTTGCTTTTGCTAATTACACATTGAATATCAATTCAACCTGGCACAGAGGATATAATGTATGCAGAGATCACCTCATATTGGAGGTATATGGGAAGACTAAAGGACAAAGTGGCATAAAACAATCTATAAACCCATACAGCAACATCAAGCTTTCTAGCAATGCTTGTGTTTTCAAGCATCTCTCCACCATTGAACAAAAACACTCCAGCTACTTCTGCAAATCACGGAATATCGATACTGATAAAGCATAAAATCAAGTCTGAGTTCATGCAAATAAGGAGTGACCTAGTCCAGGCACAGGAGGTAAGGATTACATGTAATAAAGCCTGTACTCTCTACGGGCAGTCAACTTCCAAAGAATGTGACATAAAATGCAATGAATTATGCAGAAAGGCCAATCTCACAAGTACTTTATTATATTACTTCAACAACATTATGGCTGGCACAGGATCCCAAAACATAATGTTGTTGATTATGATACTCCGCACCATAAAGGTGAAGACCGAGGCAAAGCTTTCATGCCTAGATACATTAACCAATGTGCCAATGGTGGCATGCAGGGGAGGCTCAAGCTAAAGGAATCCTTATCTGAGGTACAACTACATGCTGATATGGAAGCCATCTTTAGCATGGATAAACTACACAGATCCATAAATATTTAAAAATGGATCTCCAGACCCAGATGGTGTAGGAATCTCCACCTATAAGGATTTTACAGAAGCCAACCTGTTTAAGTTAGTGTTGGAGTATCAACATAGCTGAACAACAGCTAACATTCCTGAAATATAAGGTGATGCCTTTATCAAATCCTTACCCAAACCCATGAATAATCACTCTCTTCATAAAGACCATCAAATCATCATCCTAAAAAATATCATTAACAATATCCCAGAGAAGATTGTGGTTAGCAGGTTTGCCTATCAGATTGAATAATTATTGCTATCATTATTAGGTGGATACTGCAGTGGAAGAAAAACCTGGACCAACGCTTCAGCTGATATGAGGGATCAGTTGAAAGATTTGAAACTGGTGTGAATCTGGAAGATGCCTACAACAGAGTCCACCTACCTATTCTTGCTGATAAAATGCTCAAAATAGGTATCATTGTAACATGCATAAGGTGAATTGTAGCTTCACTAACTACCAAAATATCCATCATGAGGTAAAGAAGCTGATAATCAAATTGAATCACCATCATCACTGGTCCGCCTCAAGGAACACCACTCTTGCCAGTGTGCTGTGTGCTAACCATTGCTGACAACACTCTAGTGTACAGCAGAGGCTATATTCAAGCTAAAATTTAAACCAAAATACAATCATCCCTTAGCAGGTGATCATACATTGCAATCAGACAGGAATGGTCATCAGTCCTGTCAAAGTTACAGCCATGTTCTGCACCTTCAGTAACAGACATTTCAATGACAAAAAGCCATCAACTTCCTTTACATGCATGGCTATCCATCTGGAATAAAAAATAAATTACACAGAGGAAACCTTTTACAGACAATTTCACCAGCCACATTAACACCATATTAACAAGAACTACCAAAGGCATCAATGCAATAAACGTTGCAGCACGAAGTAGAGCTGAAGATTTCCCCTGCTTATGTTGTACCAAAGTCTTATCTGTCCCATCTGTGGGGGTGGGGTGGGGGGGTGTATTTTGCATTACCTAATTAGTATCAGCTACACAGCCAGACAAGATTGAAAGGATACAAAACATCCATTTAAAACTGCTCAAAGGATCTACTACAGCTGTACCCATCAAAGCTCTACTACACATCCCGGGCCTTAGCAGCATCACAGAACAGCCAACAGTGCTTTATGCAAAACTCTGCACTATGACCATGCATTTCATCATTGAGCCACTGACTTACAAATTGGGACAAGCATTGGTTAAGTAGAAGATTTCCTAAAAGGTGCCTCAAGAGACAGTCATGGTTGGACACATTCTATACAACCACCACTGAAATAACTTTTTACAACCGGATATTTGATCTATATGTAGGATAAATATCTGATTCCACTGGGTTCTGTGGAAATCAACCTAGACAGAAAATGTAGTGATTGAGAAAAGAGTGAAGCAAAAATAGTATGTCAGCATCTGTTTAAAGACCATAGTGAACAATCACCTGTCATCCTAAACACATATAGTTCCTACACCAAATATAGTTAGAGAGGTGGTTAGGAATTCATTGTCTTGTGGAACATTCAAGCTTCCCACAAGCAGCACAAGAATAGAACTAGAAGCCATAAATCAAGTTCTCCTCTTGACTAAAGAAAGCAATTATCCCCAAATAGACACTGACACCAATAAAATATTGGCAATGGACTCAACAACAGTACTGAATAAAATTCAGAATGGTTGGTCCTCTGATAAATGGTAGAAATCAAAGCAGCCTTATGGTAAGACCATCACATTTATTTCAGGACGTGCAGGGGTAAAGCTAAATGAGGAATCTGACAAACTCACAAAAAAAAAACCTTTATCCAATGAAGAACTCCTCTACTGGCAGAATATTGACCTCTTCTGCAATAGTAAGGTAAAAGCTGAGAAATCTGTAACACAATACTAAGCTATAAGGTTCTGTTAACACCAGTAAAGTAACTCTCTTCTACCTCCTCCAAGGCAGCCTGTCTCTACACAAACAGTCAGCACCCAGGGCTGCAACTCTTTGGATTTTTACCAAATATGCAACTTACTATTTCTATTAGAACTTTGCTTCTATATCACACTAATCTATATCTTCATCTATATTACTACTTTACTTCTACATCTTCATTACTCATATTACAGCTTATTTTCAATATCATACAAATCTAAACTTTCATTACGACTTATGCTTTTACACCACCCTAATCTACGCCTTAGTTACATATATTGTGATTTGGGTTTCTGTATCATATAAATCTCTTATTTTCTGTTACATTTAGTTTGTATAAACTATATTCATTTACACATTCATACAAAAACATTGTCACCTATGCAGTTCTTTTATTAACGATTAAGCTTTTATGTTGAAAAATCATGTAAGTCTATTTATAGAGCAGTTTTCTAGGGTTTGTGGTTCTGTTTTCCAGCCATGTTTATCTGTACAGTATTTCTAATCTATCAACCCAAAATTATTACCAACTACTCATATGTCCACTTTGCACGGTACTTTTGTGATTTTTGCCTGTATGTATGTTAAAACCATGCCTAGCAATTTTCCTAAGACTTATTCTATACTATAATAAACCAAGTGCCCCTTGTAATTTTCCTAGACCTTTTGCTGATATCAGTTTGTCTATATTTTGAGCATTTCTCAAAAGACCCATATATTATTATGAGTATTATCTTACTGGTTCTCCTGGTTGCCCATTATTTCCAGGAGATCCTGGAGGTCCAATCAGTCCATGAGGGCCCTAAGTATAAAAAAAAAAGAAAAGTTAAGAAAAGCATTATTGAGACTACCTTTATTGTTTATAGCAGAAATATTTCTGACAGTTTAGATAATTTTTTATCAGCCCAATGCATCATTAGATATGAAAAAAATATTTTGGTTTCACCTGTATACTATATATATAATCCTGAGACAATCTCATTTAATTTTAGCCATATCATGTTATTTTTGAAAGCACATTATAAAACTAATGTTTGTTTGTTCGTAAGCACAAAACTACACAAGGGACTATCTGTGCTTTGTCCACCACGAGTATCAAAAAACCAGTTTTTAGCAGTGTGAGCCCTCAGACTTGCCACTGAGTCACTTGAGGATGTTCTGTTATCAGCAAATTAAGTACATTACAAAATTTCTTTTTTCTTACCATTTTGTCCTTTTCTTTCCAAATGTTTTGTTAGATGTAGTGTTTCACAAGAATGACTATGCCCTCTAAATTCAGTAATTCGAGTTTATCTAGCCCAAAAAATGAGTAATTAAGTTTAAAACTATGGGCAGAATCCTATATACTGAAGTATTTAAATAACTAAGAACTTATTCAATGACCCCCCATTATCTAGTGCTTGACACTTACTTATTTAATAGGTACTAATCCTTCAAAATGTTTAAAAATGCAAGGGATAACTTCAAGACATATCCTGTAATGCCTCAAATGAACAATACATTTCTCAGTCTTAAACCCGTGGCTAAATTTAATTCATACCTTACTCCACCATCCTATGTATTATGATATTATTTTTTAATTGTAAGACAAAATACTTTTTCTTGAAAAGTATTAATTCCAATTGGAAGATACTTAAGATTTATATATATGCTAGGCACCAATTACGTTTTTAATAGAAATGAATAGTGACCCATCTCCATAATTGCAACACAGTAAAATTTATAGCTGTTATTCAAAATTGCAGATGAATCATGATCTCCTTTAGAACGAGAAACATTCACACTATGATACTACTATGTTGCAATTCTGTATAAAGAAAATAATAACAATTATTTATGAACTGCTTACCACATTTCCAATAAAACCACGAGGTCCTCTTAGTCCTACTGACCCAGTATCCCCATTGTCACCCTAAGAAAATATTAAATAAAAAGTTTTTAAATTCATATATATATGACAATTCAAGAATTAGTCAAACAAATGGATACCTAACTGATCTCTGCAACAACTGGAGATTTGAGAATCTAGTAAGCAGAAGTACAAATATAGTGATTTGCAGTAGTAAAATGAAAAGAGACAATTTATGATTTTATATTAAGTTAAAGGAAAAATAAATAGTTTATTTCACGATAACAGAAAAATGGTTAACTGTACAGGTGATAAGCATATTTTAGCTGACCAATTAGAAAAACAGATTTAAAGAATCCAGAAGTATCTCTGCTCCATATGAGAGTCAAAAAGTGATCCTCTATACTCAAGGTAAAGTAAGATAATGTAGAAATAACCCATGACAAAATAAATAGCTGCTGAGATGGACCCTGCTACAGAAAATAACATCTTAGGCTGAATTTAGCACTTTAACTCATCCAGATATGGTATCTTCCAAATCAGAACTTAGAAAAATTCAAAAATTTTGTAGTCATGAAATATACATAAGGTACATAATAGTTGTACAATTTTATATGTTCTGTTTTTATTCTGCTAACAAACTACAGTTCAGCTAACACAGTAAAGAACTACAAATTACATCACAGTTTTTATTATATTTCACATTACAGGAGGTTTCTAATGAAGATTGTTATTAAAATCTACAAATTCATTTAGTTTTTCAGTATTATTCTGAAACTATACTGAACACTATAAAAATTACATTATAAAATTCAGTACTAGACATTTATATAGAAACGACTATTTTTATAAGTGTCACTTAGTTTTAATTAGGAGAGCATATTATCCATTTACTCAACAATACTACTGAAACTGAGTGTTTATGCTCTACAAGCAGCATTGTACAATCTTGAATTATAAGCTTGGCAAAATATATGTACAGATCTGTTAGACTGCTATAAGAATTTTTAGCTAGAAATTAGAGATAAAATTAAGCACAAAAAATGTTTATGTACATCACTTTTAAAATAGTAGAAAGGAAAAAAATGTCTTAAAACTTTATTATTGGAGATATATATAAATGCTTTAAAATTACATCCTCAATCATAATATATATCGTAATTTTTGTTTCTCCTGTGAGCAGGATTGAACTCAAGAATTCTCATACAAATGTTTTACCAACTGATCTAAAGGGTTAACGACAAGCAGCTGCTAATAAAATGCAACAACTCAAAGCTACAACACATGCTGAGCACGTTATATTAAAATGGCATCATTATAGTCCATGTTGCCACATCTGGTCATGCTCCATTTCACAACTGTATATCTTGAAAAGAGCCTGCCAGTATGATTATCATGGGAAAAGGTTATCAAGTCCAAAGTACATCAACCCTACCTGAATGCTTTCAATCCATCTGTTGCATGAGAATTATTTCCCAGTGCCTGTTTAAACAGGCCAATCACACAGAAATTCATAGACATGGTATCTAGAAACTTGACTGGTATATCTTAATATGGAATAGTATGAATACCTATTTCATTCTTAAGCTGCTTGAACTATGTAACAGTAGAATGGGAGGTATGACTGAAAGTCTTATCATTGTGATTCCAGATTGAGATCCTTCTTGATTATGATCCATATTGTTGCCTGTGGCATGTTGATAGTTTTACCACTGACTTTTTTGTTCATGAATTCTAACCTGTTATAAGACCTTGCACTCTGCTTACATAAAAAAAAGTAAATACTAAGGAAAAATAGTAAATACTAAGTTGTTTGTTCTAATGATTAAGTTACTTTTTTTAAATGCTACGTTATCTGTTCTGATGTCATATGTAACTTGGAAATGCTTTCAAAATGTATTTTGTTCTAAAATAATGTTTTTTTTAGAGTATATAATTTTGATATTTAACTTTTCTTTATGCACCAAATCATTTTATTAATATAATTAAAAGTATATGGCTCACTTACACATATATTTTAAGAAGCTTATATTTTTGTTTTATAAAAAATACTTCATTCATTTGGCTTGATATCGAAGTTTAGTATTTGAAAATTCAAATAAAATTTTAGCAAGCAATTACCTTCTGACCTGGTTTGCCAGTTGGTCCTCTATAGCCAGGGTATCCAGGCTCTCCCTATGTGAAATAAAGAAAATATTGTATGTGACCATCAGCAAGCTCTGTTACAAGTGAAAAGTCATTTTGACACATTATATGATTATTAAGCTGCAATTGTCAAAAAACACACATATGTCACACATTACTAGTTTAACGATAAATATTTTGTTTTACTGTACATTACATAAAATCAATCTGAATCAAATTAAGTTGTAGTTACTTACGGTATGATCACAATTATTCAGATTCAATAAAACTTTAGATGAATTAACTTCTGAATGTATAAGTTCCTCACCATATAATCTACCAATTAATTTAATAAAATCTAATTACTCATAACTTCTCGCTGGATAAATCTTTTGGGTACTGTATATCAAACAAGCAGTGTAAGTTCACATATTTATAAGATTTTTCATGTCATACTTGAAATATTTTAATTCAAACAAGACAAACATTATTTCATCTCACCAAAGGTCCAATGGCACCTGGAGATCCAGGGTCACCTTTAGAACCTTTAGGACCCTGTAAAATTTAATGAATACTTTCTTCTAAAACTGATAAATATTAACATGTCACTAACTATTTTATGATCATAAACCTGTATAAAAAAAGTTTTCTATGGAATCCATACAGAAAAGTTAAGATAAAAAAGTGTGTAAATACTAGATTATGGGGTTCTTATAATCCATATGGATTCAAAATAACAAATAGTTTCACCTGCTCTAGATTCCCTTAAGTATAGCTTGTATGAAAAATGGGTAGCTACCATTTCAAAATCATTTTACAAAAGTTACTTAACTTGTGAAAATATAAAAGATGTCGGCATTAAAATAAATAATAATTTTAAACTAATTCACAAAATATGATCACTAAATACTAGATATAATTCGTCAGTCACAATGAGATATCTTTTTGTTTTAAATTAACCATTTATAAAAGGTTAAAATATAATGATTTCTTTAATTTTTTAAAAATACGAGTGGGTGACTGAATTATCAGAACAGATTAACTAATGTTCAGCATCTAGATAATGACCTATATATTATTTTGGTGACAGAGGCTTCTATGCCTTTCCCATGTGTTGAATAGTATGATTTTCATTGAAATTGCTAAAACATTAAAGAAAATTTAAAGAAATTCTTGATGAAAGTGCATCAAAACTCAGTCTTTCAAATAAATTATTATAATATGAACAATAATTATTACAATATCAATATACTTGAATTTTTGTTGAAATGGGAGTCTTAATATGAAAATAAAATTTTAATTTTGCTAAAGAAATAAAGAAATTATTTACCATACGCAACCTAAAAAATAAAACAAATATGTCTAATAATTTCTATTTTATTATACAGTGTATTCCAACTTTCTCATCATATGAGTACGTTTTTCAAAGTACCACAATAATTACAACAATGATAAACTAATTTTGAGTGAAGAAAGGTCTTATAAATAGAATTCTAAGTAATTAAAGAAAAGATAAAAATGTATGGAGGAAATACTTTTGAACACTAAACGAAAAATATTTAACAATTTGGTTAATATACAGATAAGATAAAAAATAACTGATAAAAGAAATGGAGGGATGTTATACTATTTAATAAGTTTCTTTTGAAACTGAACAAAAAGTTTCAAACTACTTAATTTCCTTCATTTAGCTTTATTACTCCCAAGAAAACCGTTGTTTTAAGGATGATGTAAATTTAATGAAAAATGGTTAGATTTCATATAATTAAAGTGACATAGGTCTAGTAATTTACATTTTTTAGAGAGTAAGAAAATCAGGTATCTAAAATGCACAATATACTGTTCACCATATTTTTTGTTAATGCTTATCAAAAGTTTTTTTTCTGAAAGTATATAATATGTGCAGTCTACGAAATATTTTCTGCCATGAAGTATATCAAAATAAACTGTATTTTTATTTAGCAATCAAAGAACATTCAATACATACAGTAATCACAAGTTCTGTAGCAATAACAACAATGTTCTACAAAAAAAAAACTAAAATAATTAAGGTTTCAAATAACAATAAAACCTTGGACTCTTCACTCTGTTGACCTGGCAGTCCTGATGGTCCAGGGAGTCCTGGAAGTCCCTAAAATTCATAAAATGAGAATAAAACACAGCTTGAATGTGAAACCTTAGGATGCTTTACATAGTGATTAATAAAACAACAAGTTGTATAAAAGCAATTTATTAATTACATTTAGCATACATAATAGGTTTATTTATCTAATACTTCTCCTCTAATGAAATGTGAATTATTACTAATTGCTACTCTTTAAGAAATTCTATTTGTATACATTTTGCTGATCTAAGCTCAAAATATTAACAATCCTCATCTTGTTTGCACGGGAAACAAAATTTAATTTGTCACATAATGATGTTTTTTTTAATGTTAAAATATCTTTATTCTGTCATAGGTATTATTGTGTCAATCTAAAGCATTCTTCGTACCAAAATTACCAATCACATATTCCTTGAATTTTGTGCAAAGCTACTTGAGAGCTACCTGCACAAACTGTCCGTAACTTTCAAGTACTAGAAAGAGGAAAGGCAGCTAGTCAACATCACCCACTGCCAACTCTTGAGCTACTCTTTACAAATGAATAGCAAGATTGACTGTCACTTTATAATGCCCTCAGGGCTGGAAAGGAAAGGAAGTCTGGGGAAAGATTTTAATCATATGACCCACATATCATAAGTCGAGTGCTCTAACAACCAGGTTATGCACAGCTATGAATTTTAATGATTTTATGGAACAAGAGTACTGGTATTATTGTCCTTAGTTAGTTTTTATTTAACAAGTAAAACGTCATATGCATACATTTCTATTAAGAAATATGGTTTTAATAACTTGTGTTTGAATTCAGTAAAAAAAATAGAAACATACATTAATTAGTTTACAGATCACTTACTAACATTTATTTTTTAGAATATAAAAAACAATGAAGACATTTCCAATGTAATTAAGTATCTTACATTGAATATAATTCACGAATAAACTAATAATGACTGCTTTAACTTTTCTCACCAACAAAAATTACTTCACTTGGCCAAAAGCCTTCCTAATTGTTTCTATAAACTTGCATATATCATAAATATTTATAAAATAGATATATCCAAAAAATAAATATCATGAAAAGATTTCAACATATATATGTAAATATTTTAAACATGTTACAATAAATCACATTTCAAAATATGCTAGTAATAGACTACAAAATAATGTTACGTCTCCGTTTGTTAATTAACTTTCCGTAACTTCGTTCTGACGAAACTTTAGCGACACAAGTCCTTACTTAATAAAACTGGTTTATTCTTTCTGAATATAACTTTACGATACACTTGATTCCAACATTCGCGCTAAAACAAACGAACGTTAACTTCAACAATACCCTGTGACTGCAGAACAATTACTCACTATCTACACACACTTTACTTTTCCCGTCACATTGTGAGCGTCTTATATATACCAGACTACCCTATATCTAGTAATCTCCCGACAATTCCCGAAGGTTCGAGAGAACAAGTCACGTGACCTTGCTGACGCAACAATAATCTTTACACGAGTAACAGTTAACAGTAGTGTTTATAGTGGGCCAGAAACGACTTCAGCAATCAATTCCAGTGAGATAATTGTGGGACACAATCATAAAAATAGCAGCACCAGTAATAAAATATCTACATTCCCACAAAATGTGTACCAGTAGACACGAGTAACATGATGTTGCTAAAATAACATATTTCTGATGCCATTTAATATCTTAACGGTTAATAGAAAACAACTAAAAATTCAACAAACCACGTGTCCTGGAGGTCCTGGTTTTCCAGAAGGTCCAATTTCTCCAGGTTCTCCCTAGTAGTAAAAAAATCATGGTTATTTATACAACATCAAAAAATATTACAAAACTAACTATCATAAAAAGACTTCAACATATAGAAAGATCTGAAAAAATATTGCAATACTAATAATTGAGTGTATAAAGATAAAATCACTACATCTGAAAACAAGAGTATAAAATACAAGTGAAATTATCATCGTAATCAAGTCTAATGCAATTGATTTTCATACTTAGTAAGCCAGACACTAAAATCTTTAATAGTAAAATTACTACAATTAGTAATTAATAGCACAAACAGCCACCCATGGGTCAGCATTTCTGCTAGTTTAACTAATTTATATTTAAATGAAATCCCAAAGAAATGCTTAATTATATATATTAAAAAAGTGTTAAATTAATAAATTTGGAGTGACATGTTTTTTAAGTATGCAAGTGTTTACCAAAACTTTATGAATTGTATTGGTTTCAGTTCTACTTTCTTTAACCCTGAATTAATCAACGTACCTCATCAAAAAAAAACTTTAGAAAAGTGAACATTTTCTAAAAAAGGATTCTTCTGGGAAGTACTGCACAGGAAAAGTGTTTGGATCATGCTGATATAAACTGTAATGTTTATATATATATATATTAAAAGTGGTATCCTTTATTCAAAAAATAAGTTTTTAAGAACTCCATTTTTAGTACTATATTTATAAATTACATTAATAATGATATAATGAAAACTTCACATAAAGTCCTAGTGAAATTCGTGTTCTTGTTGTGAGGAGAGTATTTTTAGTTAACATTGTGTTCTGTGATAAAGAAATGGTTGTTGCACATACCATAGTTATTTTTCTAATTGTCTGAATCTTGAATACTCAAAGTGTGAAATTTTTTATAGATTTTTGTTTGTGGTATTACTCAATAGATGGCGTAATATGGTATTTATTATTTCAGACACATTATATATATATATATATATAAACACACATCCTACATCCATTATAGTAAGATAACCGGAACTAGCATCTACGTTCTTTTGGGGCAATTACCTAATTTCAACACAATGCACAGCTAGAAATTTGAACAAGCTTGGCAATACAAAACAATAGAAAATAAGCTGATGTTTCTGTGACATTTAGTAGACTAACATTGATGGTCTTCTTAAGCTAATGAAATATTGGCTTGAATTTATGAACACATTAACAAATATTGTGAGATATTTGTTACACTTTCACAATTATATACTGATGTATTTTGAATTTTATGGCTGAGTGTCATCTTCTTTTTTAGGCTAAAGTGTGTCAACCACGTGAAGATCCTTCCCATAAGGTGTGAATAAAATAAAGAGAAAATTATCACACAAAATGTAAAGAAGTGTGTTTATTTAAATATTTAAGTTCAGAAAGAATGTAGCTCAGCCACAAATTGGAGCTGATTACCTTCCCCTCATGTTATGCACATGTACATATCTCCATCATAACCTTCCAACAAGTTTTAATATTCAACTGAAAACTGCAGTACGAGTTAATTATTCAATGCACCTTTACTACACTTCTGAAGTAGCTCTGCTTGTTTCTTAATTAGATAAATAATTTATATTATTATGTTTGCAATATCACACACACATAAATTAAAAGAAAATGCAAAAACAAACATAAACAGAGAAAATATTAATTTTACATTAAGATTACGAACTTCACATGCCATACATTTTTCACAAACACAAATTAAAATTTTAAAATTAATATTTTACTGATTACCCTAAGTCATAATGATTTAGTAATGAGAATTAATAATACACAGAAAGGATCGTTACAAAATTACCAATGAAACCGGGTTTCGATACCCGTGGGGGGCAGAGTACAGATAGCCCATTGTGTAGCTTTGTGCATAATTACAAACAAACAAACCAATGAAACTGAGTTGAATCTTCAAGTTTATTTAAGACTTTTCTAGTTATTTACCTTCAGAAAGTCATATTAGCAACTACAATAAAATAAAAAATATAATTTGCTGCTATGTGTTTCATCGAATATAATTATAAAAATTAGCTACAGATAAGATTCCAGTAAATATTTTAAATATATTGCATTTTAACATATACTTGATGTGTATCTCAATAAATTAATATACCAGTATGAAAGTTTTGTCAAATAACTAACAAAGCTGCTTAAAATATTAATTTTAATACTGTGATACAGAAGTGTATTATGTGCCAATGATTGTGATTGCAGAAAAATATTAAGCACAGTGTTTTTTTTCTTCAGAATAAAATTAAAACAAATAATTATTTGATATGGACCAAATCCTTAATTAATAGTGTTCAAATCTTAATAATAATAGACCACTGGGAAAATAACAAATTATTAAATGCTACAACATTAATGATAATTTAAGGGCTGGTGTATTTCAGCTACCTGTGATCCATCAATACCTGGTTCCCCTTTTGGCCCTGGTTGAGCAATTCTGACCTGAAAATATTTAAATAAGGAAGATTAAACACCTTCAACTTGTCTACAATTTTTAAATACTCTTAGCTAAATTAAGAAATATCACACAGTAAAAGTTACAAAGATATTTAAAAAAACAGCACTATTATGTTTATTTTTAAGTTTTAAATGTATATTGATAATAACTTACTTAGTTTTATCCACACAGCTGAAATCAAGTTTAATATTACTAAAATATTGTGTATGAATGAAGAAAACCCGAGTTTGCTCATTCACACTCAGACAAAGGTTATTATTACTAACAAACTATATGTATTAACGAAGTATACTTGTATTCACAGACAGTTTGTTTGTTTTTAAATTTCTCACACAGCTA